AATTAAAAGTAAGATAGTAGAACAAAAATAATATTTTTAAAATATGATAATAATATTTTTAACATATGTTTAACATACAGTATATTTATCATATTATAACATTGATAATATTGTAATTACATTGTAGCAATCTTGTAAACATATTTAGCAAAAATCGAAGGTTTCAGCAAAGAAAATTGTGCGAAGAAGCTCGTATTTTAGTTTTTAATTTGTTAATCAATTTAGTGTCGATTAAGAATTAAATAAATATATTAGCAGTTAATCTTGATTATTTTTGATACACTGATAATAAATGTTTTTACCCCAAATTTCAAATACTAGTATGGCATATTAAAATAAAAATTACTTGAAATTAATTCAATTGATTTAAATAGTTTTCAAAACATAATACATGGGTGAGTCAAAGAAATAAACAAAATTTTTTATAATAAAAATTTTTTATAACTTTGAACAAGAAAAACTTTATCAATTTTGATAAAAAATTTTTAGATAAAATTTTATAAACTTGTAGAATTAATTTATATCAAAATTTAGTCAAGTTTTTGTTAAGCTATTTTTGTTTAAAGCTTAAAAAAAAAATATAGAAAAAATATTTGCACACATTGTATACTTTTCAAATCTAGGATTTTTCAAATATGAAATATTTAAATATTTGATGAAGTATATTTAATGATATCTTCATATCACATTCCTCCAAAAAATTTATATCGAAACTTACATCATCTACTGATATTTGTAATTGTTAAAAAAATTTTTTTTAATAGTAAAATTTGTCATTTAATAAAAGAAGTTTTCAATTATTAAAATCGTAATAGCACCAAGGAAATGAACCCTCTAATGCATTTCTTGTTTCTGGTCCAAAATTGTTATGACAAATATATAAAGTAATTAACAGTGTACTTAATTAGCACATCGGTTAATGCCTTTCCTCCTTCTGGTCCAAGATTATTCGTACAAAGATCCAGAGAAGTCAACGTTGTGTTCTTGCAAAGTGCTCCTGTTAATGCTAATGCTTTTCTTTCTTCAGACTCAAGGTTATTCCAACCAAGACCCCAAGAAGTCAGCGTGGATTCTTGCAAAGTGCATCTACTAATGCTCTTCTTTTTCTAACTCAAGTTGATTCAAAGAAGTCAGCCTAGTGTTCTTGCAAAGCGCATCGACTAAAGCTCTAATTCAAAATAATTATAACCAATATTCAAAGAAGTTAGTATGGTGTTCTTGCAAAGTGCAGCCGCTAATGCTTTTCCTTCTTCTGGTCCAAGATTATTACTATTAAGATCAAAATCTTTTAACGAGATGTTGTAGAGTGCATCCGCTAGTGCTATTCCTTATGATCAAAGTTTAGTTTCAGCAAGATTCAAAGAAGTTAGTGTGGAGTTCTTACAAAGTGCGTCTGAAAATACTTTCCTCCTGATTCAAAATTATTCCTGCAAAGATTCAAGAAAGTCAGCGTGTCATTATTGCAAAGTGCATCAGCTAATGCCTTTACTTCTTCTGATCTAAGATTATTATAATTAATATTAGCTTGATGTTTTTGTAAAATGCATCAGCTAATACTTTTACATCTTCTAATCTAAGATTATTTTCGGCAAGAATTAAAGAAACCAAGGTAGTGTTTTCGTAAAGAAACTTTGCTAACGTCTTTGCTTCTTCAGTACTAATCTGATTATTATAAAGACCTATATAATTTAGGACCGCGTTTTTATATAGTGCCTATATTAGTGTTTTTATTCCTTCATAACTAAATTGATTTGATTTAATATTCAAAGAAGTCAAGGTAGAATTCTTATTAAGGAACTTTACTAATCTATTTATTACTTTGAAACTAAAATCATCTCTTCATAAGATTATGTAATTCTACCAAAATTTTCTCATAAAGGTTTTCAAATATTAATTGATTGAAAATATATTGATATTTAAGATTTTTGTTTGTTAGTAGAAGCATTGCAATTAAAGAATATACAGCAGCATTTCTAAGCTCACGGTTATATTTTCTAAAACCCCTTCTAACTTCACAATATAAATACTGGTACATAATTTGCGTAGGCATCCTTTATATAATCACGCAGTTAGGCACATACCTATCTAAAGATATCTCTATATAAGCATATTATATAAAATTATAAATTACAATTTTTTATAATAAAATTTATTCTTACCAATTATTGCTATATAGGAAAGTTCAATTTTACTAATTAAATCAACTTTTATATAATAAGTACTGTATAAGCACGAAATGACACTCTGTGGTGTTATTTTGAAATCCGGATTCCCCAAAATAGCATAAAGAATCTCAAAATAGCACCCACGCGCGCCCTGAATTAATGATTAGTGCGACAAATTAACTACATCAATGACACGGGCCATAACAATTTTATTTAGCATTTACAGTTGTTCTCATCTAGTAAAAAATCAACTGAATGATTGTTTGACCAATTCAATAAGATTTTGGTTTCGGTAATGAGCAATTACGAAATAACTTAACTCAAAATACTGTATAATTTTTTACATTATTATATTCAATAAAAAACTTTATAATTATAGATATTGTTTACATGTTTAAATATTCAAAATGTTCAAATGTTTATATTATACTATAATTTCACATCTCTATATACGATAATATAAAACTAACTCTAAATATATCTTTGAGCTCTGTTATAAATTCAAAATATTTCCTCCTCTTTCTTATCTGTTTCATTCACAATCCTATTATCTAATTTTATAAATTGAATTATTTTTGTTACTATTCTAGTAAAAATATTATCTAGAATTTCAACTTGTTCCTTTTTTTTCTTTTTGACTTTATAATCTTCTAAAAACTTACAAGAATAATTACTATCTAACTTTGCAAAACATGATATTGTGCTTATCAACCTTGTACTAAATTTACTACCAACAAGAGATTCAGGAATAATTAAAGTAAGAGAAATAATTAAATTATTTAAAATCTTAGAAGTGCAAGTTAAATTCTCAAGTAAACGTTTAAATAAAAAGGTAAGATATAAAGCTAAACAATATGAAGCATAAAGAGCAAAACGGCTAATATCAGGCCTAAAAAAAACGAACTTGTATTCTAAAACTTCGGAATTTTTTTCACCTAAATCTTCAGGTTCATTTTCGCCTAAATCTTCAGATTCATTTTCGTTTAAATTTTCAGTTTCATTTTCGCCTAAATCTTTAGATTCATTTTCGCCTAAATCTTCAGGTCCTTTTTCATCTAAATCTTCGTGGATTTCTAACTATATTTAAATAAAAGAAAAACTATAGAAACATACAATTTAGAGTATTATGAAGATAAATAAATTTCAATAATACCTGAAAAAACGAGTAAGGTAGGCATACGACTAATAACACTATCAACGACATTATCAACGTTCTATTACTTATGCAAGTTCCTATCATTATTAACCTTGAGAGTATTACTAGCATTGGAAGAATTAAAACTTCTATTTTGAGAATTAACATTTATATTGGAAGAATCGTTGATAGCAAGACTAGATGCAAGTAAACCTAGAGTAATGCATGACAAGATCACCAAACTAGATCTCACTTTTGCAGCAGTAGAACTAAACTCTTGTTCAAGTTTACTTTTTTTAATAGCAATTCTACTGAAGAAAAAACATGATCCAAATATTAATAGGATATTAGAGAGTACACGAATTTGATCATTCTCCAACGCTGCTTCCACTTTGCCAAAGGTTGTATTCAGCAATCCTCCCAAAGTCTGAATTAAAATACTAATATTATAATCATGATAGAATAATGTTTATTGTGTCATTAAATATACATTACCTCGCCCACAGTGCATGCAAATTCTTCAGTTGCGAACCCAAGCAATCTAGCCAATGACATGATAGCTAGAGAGCTCATTTAAAAAATTAACGTGGTATTCGAGCTTAGAATGTCCTACAGGAACGAATGCTAACAAAACATTAACTTTATTCAGGTTAGCTTTTTTTCTTGAGGAAGTTGGCTCATTTTGTAAAATCGATATTTATTCCTTATTATTGCTTTTTTATGTTTTTTTTTTTTGCATCATATTATTTCCATTTTGCATTTTCTGATTTTATTTGTACGTATGTAGTCTAACATGGAAATACTTAATGTCATTGAATCGAATTTCGAGAAAATGCAGGAGAATAATTCTACAAACGATCTACGATTCTACAATTCTACGTGGAATGATGTAAATTTCTACAGTTCCACAAGTAGAATTGTAGAATTGAAGAATTGAAGAATCCTTATTATTGCTTTTTTTCATGTTTTATTTTTTACATGTTATTTCTATTTTTGCATTTTCGGGTTTCTATTTGTAATGTCATTGAATTGAATTTCTAGAAAATGCAGAAGAATAATTCTACAAATGATCTACAATTCTACAATAGAATTTTAGTAATTCTACATGGAACGATGTAAATTTCTACAGTTCCACAAGTAGAATTGTAGAATTGAAGATTCCTTATTATTGCTTTTTTTTTTTTACTTGTTATTTCTATTTTTGCATTTTCTGGTTCCTATTTGTATGCACGTACGTACGTAGTCTAACGTGGAAATAGTTTAATGTCATTGAATTGAATTTCTAGAAAATGCAGAATAATTTTACAACGAACTACAATTCTACAATTCTACATGGAATGATATAAATTTCCACGGTTCCACATTGTAGAATTGTTCATTAATAATTTTTGTAATTCTACAATTCGACACGGAATTGATGTAATTTCTACAGCTCCACAGTGTGGAATTGTAGAATTGAAAATCATTAATTTAACGCACTTAAACAACTCTCTTAAAACCGTGAAACGTTCGTTGTTTGATTAGCTAATATTTACAACCCACTTTTGAATGATTCACGGATTCGAAAGCGTTTTATATAGTCACTCTCAATATGCAATTGTTCTTGCAAGTGCAAGAACAAGAACAACTGCTTCGCAGTAGCTGGGAAAAAACCCCCCAAAAAACCAGAAGATTAATAAAAATAGTTAATATATTAGCCAAAATATTAAGAAAATTATTAGTCCACTATAGATTTAGATGGTTGTTTTCTAGATTTTTCCATTTTTAAAAAATTTTTGGCCGGAATTTTTGCCGCCCAGATTATCTGATAATCACTTTTAACGTAGAGTCAACAGACCAAAAAGATGCCGATGCGCCTCGTGAAACCATTACAGCTGGTTCCTGGTATTGCCAATCTATCCTCTTTCTTTGATATCCGAGCTGTTCGGTTGGGCTATCAAAGTACTTATCTTCAACGTCCGGGTTGCCCACCCGGGCTATCGATCATACCCATAACTACCAAGCAGAACACTTCCTTTGCCTGGTGGTGTGTGGGTGGACAGAGCAAGACTTGCGTAAAGCTAGCAGCAAAGACAAAAGAGGAAGAACAAATTTCCATTTCTCTCTTAAATAGCCATTTACTATGACCTCGCTCAATCAATCAAATCGATGCTCATCACCCCTATAAGAAAAGTGGACGGGTTGTGGTACGGGTTGGTTTCGGGAATGTACGAAGTGGCCCGAATCGTGTGGCACGCACAGGCACGTTTTACGGAATGGCACGATAAAAATAGCACGGACACTGCGGTAAGGAGTGGCACGTCATATGGAACAACACGTTCGGATGACACGTATGTGTACGTTGCGCACGTGTTGGCTCGTTTCGCGGAGAGCGAAAGATCAATAGATGTTTTTTTTTAAAAAAGTGCAATATCTCATAATTTCACTGATAAAGCTGCTCTGAGCAGTGTTGAAAATTAATGTGCGGAAGGGGCGGAACGCACGTCAAAAAAATTTTCCGCGCCTTAAAGATCAACAATATGTGCGCAAAGCGCTCGTAGGTTTTTTAAGATTCTGAGCGGAATGCGCACATTAAAATTTTTAAATTCATATTTGCAATAAGCGCTATATTTTTTATGCAACTAACTTACGTTTAATTAATATTAATAACATATTGAATTAAATTATATCTCTAATTTTATCGATATCAAACTTATATTGTTTTAAAAAATGGAGAAATTTGTTATACGACATACCAAAAGGGATTAATAAATTAAATTGTATTGCATAAATAAACAAATAATATATTTTAGCATTATCTGCGAGATATATATATTTAAGTTATTTGTTTTGCGCACGTTAAAAAAAGCTTATATGCGCTGTAGCGCACCAAGATAAATATGTAATGTGCGGCCCGCCCACAACCCTGATGCTGAATTTTCAACACTGGCTCTGAGTTTCTTAACAAAAAAGGTTCCTTACAAAATTTACTTCACATGCAGTTAGTTTGTTCGTATTATATTGATTACTAATGTAAATTTTATGTTTTAATCATTAATCCACATGTTTGTTATTTGTTATCGCCCGTGCCGATTCGACTAGTACTAGTAAACTGCTGCAAAACCTGAGCCATTTATGGACTAATTGGCACGGGCATACGGACCCACACGGACCACCGAATCCGTACCAACTCGGACCACACCAGTACAAATCCGGATCTTGACCCGTGCCACAAAGGCCCGTTCCTATCCGAAACCAACCCGTACTGATCCGATCTATTTTTCTTATAAGGCACACGATACATCAAGTTAATACATCATACCTACGTACAAATCGCTTATTCATGGGTGCAAAACATACATTTTTGATACTCCTTTTTGATCCTGATCGTTGTACAGATCTTAGTAAAAAATAAGAATTTTAAAAACTTTGAGCAAAGATATCTCGACAATAATCTGACCAAATTCGATAAAATATTTTTTATTTGAATTATATGGATTCATAGAATTCAAAAAAATAAATAAAAATTTATCAGATTTTGTCAAGTGATTGTCGAGATATCTTCGCTCAAAGTTAGAGAAAAATCAAAACGCATAAAATAATAACCATAGCTGCCGCAACAAAATCATATGAGCAGAAACCTTTATTTTTGTGATTTGATAAATTGAATAATGGGATTACATAGAATTTGAGCCAATAATATATATAATATAATGTGATTACTAAGATTAAAAGTGATTATCTACGTACGTACGTACTTATCATCATAGGCAGACTTTCGTATAATTGGCTGTTTAAATCAATTTAATTTTACAGTTTAAAGTACTTTTTTAAAAAAATAAAAACTACGAAGAATAAACAAAAAAGAAGTATATAGAAAGTTTTATTAGGGTTGTAGGACTCTATTAAAAATAATCAAAATTCTTTTTTGTTTTAGAGAAATTAGCATAATAGCGACTTCTTAAAGATAAATAGAATTAGGTTATCACCATGCTAACTTCTTTAAAACAAAAAAGAATTTCGATTATTTTTAATAGTGGAGTCCTACAATGCTAATAAAACTTTATATATACTTCTTTTTTGTTTATTCTTCGTAGTTTTATTTTTTAAAAAAGTACTTTAAACTGTATAAATAATGTAAAATTAAATTGATTTAAACAGCCAATCATATGAAAGTCTGCCTATGATACTTATCGCTGTTCATGAGTAAAGTAGTGATTTTCGTGATTTGAATTTTAATAATAACATTACATTAAAAATTTTCGCACATAAGGTCTCGATTTTGATTGCCTAACAGCCGAGGATTTTCAAAGTCTTGGCCCGCATTACATAATTGTTCACTAATTTCCGGTCGGAATTAACTTATAATTTTTTTTTACAAAAATAGAAATTTTTAAAAAATAAGCCCGCATTATGATAAAATTGGCCCAAGAACAATTTTCACTTAATAGGCGGCTATGGTTTTTTTTAGTAAAATTCTGGCCTAGTTTTTCGATCGTCGCTCTTAGCCAATCAAAATCGAGAATCTGCTGTAGAAAAATAATTAACCATAGCTGCCGCAGCAAATTTGGACCGGCAGATTCTCGATTTTGATTGGCTGTACTATGTAAAAAACATGTGATCCTTGATATTTTTTATATCTTCTAGCGATAGTTTCTCGACAGCTATTTGATTAATATTAATAGTTTTTTTTAATACTACAAGTATGTAAATTAAAATAAAAAAAATTATTTATTTGACCTAGTAGTTATTGAAAAAATTTCAACTTAAGTTTTAAAAAGCATTGAAAATCTTAAAAATCAAATGGAAATGATTATGATTTATTAGTGTTTAAATGAAAATATTTCAATAACTACTAGGTCAAATTCAGTGAAAATTTTTTATTTTAATTTTCATATAATTTAATTAAGTAGTTATTAAGAAATAATTACTATAAGTTATTAAAAAAAAAAAGTACAGATTTTTTTTTACAAAAGATATTAAACTTTGAATAAAGATTTCTCAACAACTACCTATTTAGAATAGTGATTTGTACTAGAAAGGCAAATAGCTAGAAGTTTATAATTTTTATTTACAATAGAGACTAAGTTTTTATTTAACTATTTTTACTTTTTGTCTATTATTCAATATATTATTTACAAAATCCTATACTAATTGTAATCTAAACTGCTAATAAGCAAGTTTCTATTTATTTTAAATTTTTGTTTTAAAAAGTAACCTTATGAAACATAGTAATAACTATGTTCTATAAAGTCATTTTCAAAGCAAAAATCTTATTTATTAATTAGCATTATAATTATTAATAATTTAGAATTAAATTAAAATAATTTACTAATTTTTTAATAAATAATAAATGAATTTACTATTGCATTATCTATTAATCAAAATAGTAATAGTATCTAAATACATCGAACTCTTTCTGATGATTACTTGAACCAAATTTTACTGAAAAAATTTTTCTAGCCAGAGTATATAAGACGTAAAAAGAGGGGCCTTAATTAGCATATGTTATTTAGAGGTAGTTCTCATATGCTACTTGCTAACAGGCTTAGAGTTTATCATTCACTGCAAACCCG